AAAAAAAAAATCCATAGATCGTAGAAAAGTGCATCGAGACAAATATTTTGAACATTTTCACAGACATAATCGGATTATCCTTTTATAGTAAGTGTCAATTTTCTTTGACCGTTTACAAGTGGACAGTATAGACTGATATTAATGACCTGTAATTTTAGTATATTATTAAGACGGGTCAAGTTGTTCGGCAATCCAAGCGTTTGTCCCATGTTGACCGTAAGACATTCTATTACAATGACTAACAATTGTTTTGCATTTAGATCAGAAACTTACGTTAAATTGGAGGTAACACATATTTTTATCAAATCCTTTGAAGGAACCCGAGGTGGAAAACATCCGTCGGGCCATGTAAGCTCTGCTATGGAAAGTGAACTAGATTTTTTTAGAACAAAATGTGATATATACTGCAGCGCACTTGTCTTACTACATGTTTGTCCGTATGTTTGCGCCGTGATACCCATCATTAACTTAGATACAGCTTTCTGGGGTTTGAAACAATAACCCATCTTAGATGACCAATTACACGTAAAGAAACAGTAGGATTGAAAATAGCTCCTGAAGCAGTGAAGTGCAAAATTTTCTTGCATGGCGGTGTGGAAATGCAAAATTTTTGGCATGCCAATATTTGTCCGTTTCAATTTACACAATTAAATCAAGCGTTCACCTAATGTCGTAAGTTTCGAAAATGTAGGAATTAGTAAAAATGTTCAAATTCGTGGCCATGAATAGTGGTTCGAAGAATGTTTTTAAAAAGTGGTCTTTTCGCTACTGCAGCTATGAAGTTCAACTGTGCTGGCAGATGATGATAGAAACATACTAACAGTCACTTTTCGCTACAGTGTTTCTTCATTTGTAAACATCAGTGACGCAAAAAGGCATAAAAGTTGCTTACAGCAATCCTATTTTTCGAGATCAATCCATCTTCAAAACTACTGGATTGCCTCTGATCTTTATCCCAATCACTCATTGTTCGAAGATGAAAATCGCCTTTGAAAATTTCTTGATAGCTGGAAAATACCACCGGTTAATTATGTGCTCATCAGATGTAAGATGAAAATTTTGAAAAATTCGCAGAACTGGGTGCTTTTTCCCAGAAGTTTAATTAGTAATGGTCATGATGAATGAATTGTTTTAGTTTACATTAAGGACTGGCGTGCTTAATAAATTATTACATTTAATAAATGCTGAAGCGATAGAAAACTGCTTAAAAAGCAAAATTCAGCAGAAGTCTGCATTACAATGAGCTGCGAAATGATAAAATTTGCTGGAGAGCTCACCGCTGAGCGGCAAAACGATGAATCGAAAAATACTAAAATTTAGCGATAAGACGTTGGCATTTTTTCTCAAGGTGGTTCACTTCAGTCACGAACTTGGATTCCTAACGCATTCTTCCACTACGTTTGTGCAGCATAACACGTTCAGACTCTGTTCGTCCCAACCAGTTTTACACATTTTCAGGAGTAAGAGCGAAATTTAAAAAAAGAAATTAAAATTACTCAATTGTGCGTTTGGCAAAAGTTTCTGGAGTCAAAAGCAATCGTTCATCGCCGCTCACAGCTGGACAGTGGGGATCCGCGCAGCCACGTCTTGGAGAACCGTCCGATGCCGGTGAAATCATAATCAGACGGAATGCTGTTCGCTTTGCCATTATATCAGCGATTTCATTGTAACTCAGTGTAACGATCGGTTTACCTTCAATCTGTAAATTAGCAAGTTGGGGCCGCAATTAAGCTAGGACCCTATGCCCACTGCTTTTTATGTTGTAATCCGTGAACCAAAACGGACTGAAATAACTTGCAATTTGCTTTTGATTCCATTCAATGATTGAAAAAAGCGGGCTCTTGACAGATTCACCAGAATCGAGTGAACTTTATAACTGAAGCGTAATTTCCTAGCCAAAAATAAACCTCTCCCTTTTCCAGTCGGCAAACACTGCTGAACTTTCCAGTGGCTACAATGCGCTTCCACTGGAAGAATTACTAAACTGCCAATCCCTTCAGAAAACGAAACGAGCGTCACGATCAAAAGAAGGCTGACACCAGGCGATGCAGCGTTGGTCAAAATATTCATAAAGTGAAGAATGAAAAAGCACGACTGTCAGCTAAATCACTGGAGAGCGTACTGAACAATTTTTCAAGTACCAAGCATGTATGTTGTTTCCACTGCGAACGTTAGAAGTGGTCACGTATAGGCAAATGTCGTGGCGCTGCTATTATTATATTATGGTTATGCCAAAAAATAATTTGAAGTGACTAAAAAGGACAAGTAAAATGTGAGCTTCTTTAAAACTGTAAAATTTGAGTAATTTTAACCTCAACAATACGTGATCCTTGCCTCAGACCACACCGCCAAGCTGTACGGTACATTTCAACATCCGTAACAACGCCTTCCTCCTGCAGATGAAAGCCTAGACTATCGGATGTTTTTGCCCGTCGGTAAACCACTTCTTTGGCTTCATCACCTGCAAAAACAGAAAAATGCAAATATTTCTCTTATTCTTCTTAACTAATTTTACTAAATGCGACCAAAATAGTGAAATCGTATTGTTATTTATTCACTTTCCCCTCCGTTCCCCCAATAAATATTTCTTCAGATTTTAAGGTTTTCAAGCCTTAGTGGTACTTAGTTGTCACAAGCTGCGCATCTGTGTGCCATAGAATTATGTGCTATCTTGATGGAGAATAACTGGTGCGCCGACGAAAAAGATAAGCGAAAAAAAAAAAGAAACTGGAAGAAAGATTTCGACAGTGCATTATTATTCGTTAAAAAAGTCATAAAAAACACAAAGCCATTTGTGTTTGAAATATAAATCTCTACACAAAAAAAAAAATCTTTGATCCGCACATGCAAGAAATTTCGAGTAAGATTCTCAAAAACTGACTGAACTCCTAGCTGCAAAGCCTTGGATGCTATCTAGGAAGTAATAATCAAATAAAAATGCAACTATACCAAGCTTTTACGCATTTGCTTCCAGCATCACTCGTCGACCGATTATCATCATCATTTGAATTGCTAATCATTTAAAAAATCCTGTATATCGAGCACGATTACAGGATCCGCGCTACTAACATTGGAGAGTCCCACCACCGGCAATCCAGAAAATTTTAGCCTGACAGAATTACCTTTGGTAACATACTCGAGTCGTCGTATCAGGGCAGTCAGTTCGCGATCCCGATTCCCAACGGTGCAGCATCTTAGCAGCAGCATATCACCATGGTCAAAATAAATCTTCAGTCTAAAATAATCACATAATTTTCAGAATTTTTAGAAACAAAAGGCTCTGATTCATATCATTTTCAAAATTCAAAAGGATACTCTCTGCTCGAGCAAAAATGGCAGAAGTGCATTTCGCCGTATCATGTTATTGCTAAACGCTTGTATGTACGCTATCAATGCTAGCCAGATTGCATTTTGGCTGTGTGCGAGAGTAAGCGACCAGTCGGACCAACACTAAAGAAGTGGCGAACATAGGCGGTGGATACTAACTGAAGACATAAAATTCGGGATCGAAGGGCGTAGCACAGCTGCGCTCGGCCTGAGGGAGCATCTTAACTGTGTCACTAATAGGGGATTTCGCAGTAACAGACCGACGGTCCTGATGTTTTTGGTATAAGTGCAGTAAGGAAAAAAGGACATAACCCAGGCTGGAACGCACCAGCTCTCCGGTGCGATCATGTATTTTTGCACTAAACTCGCAGATCGCTACTAGCAAGAATGATCCTTACGCTGTAGCCTAACACTTGGGCTCATATTGGCCGTGCTTTCATCCCTTCCGGCATGCAGGAGGAAGGGCGTCAGCTGGGATGAAGATGGTGCATTATAGAGCCGCACGGACATCCATGTGCATAATTACCGGTTTTTTGCATGAAGCCCGGTCGTTTTTTCGGTAAATGCTCGCTTTAGTGAAAAAATGACAAATGCAAATTTTTTGAAAAAATGCGAATTTCCAGTTCACTAACTCAGGCTGGAACGCACCCAGGCGAGCCGGTGCGAACGTGCGTTTTTGCAGCAAACTTCGAAGTGCCGTCTCTCATGGTCTGGGGGAGAGGGAGGGAGGAATGG